AACAGAATATAATAATTTCGATAATAATTGTCGACTTGGAAAAGAATGAATAATTAATACACAGAAGCATTGTGACCTAGATGGAAATTACGAAAAAGATTCATAATGATATTATTCAAAGAAAAATACTAGCTGTCTGGTAGGATATGTCCCCTAAATCTGTTATTTCCTCAATGAATCACAGTTGCAACGGATCAGTATACAGTACAGGGATGAAGTTATCACATCTCTACACGGTGTAGTTTTGAAGATAGCTGTAGTCCAAATCGTGATGATATGCATGTGATATCTAATTTATGTATGTAATGATGAGTTTTATTAAGTTTTATTAAGTTCACAGAATACCCATCTTGTCGCTATGGAATCGTAGAAGCACACGAAACACCCATTCTACTCCTATGAAATCGTATGACTTCACGAAAAACCCATTTTACCCCCATGAAATCGTAGGAGTACAGGAAAAACCCATTTTATCCCTACGAAATCGAATGGGGTCAGCAAATACCCATTTTGTTCCAATAAAGTCATATGAGTTCACGAAAAACTCATTTTGCCCCAATTAAATCGTAGGAGTAGAAGAAAAACCCATTTTGCCCCCATCAAATTGTATGAGGTCAGAAAATACCCATTTTGCCGCAATGAAATCGTAAAAGTGCACAGAATACCCATTTTGCCCCCATGAAATCGTAAAAGTTCACAGAATACCTAATTTGCCCCAATGAAATTGTAAAAGTTCACAGAATACCCATTTTGCCCCAACGAAATCGTATGTGATCAGTAAATACCCATTTTACCCCCATGAAATCGTAGGAGTTCAGAAAAGACCCATTTTACCCCGAAGAAATCGAATGAGGTCAGAAAATATCCATTTTGCCACTATGATATCGTATAATTCAATGTGCTTGAGATATCTCCCTAATTGATTATTTTAAACTAAATATTATTTTGAGTTTATCTATACAATTCTAACTTGAAAACTCTTCGTTACCCCAAAAACCATACTCCGTGGCGTCACTACCGGATAGTGCCCCTTTCGCATTCTCATTTGACAATTTTTCCGTTTGACAATTTTTCTTTACGTCGTTAAGTTAAGTTAATTCATTCATCTTCCCCATAGCAATGATAATCCAAATGGATAGAAAAATTCTTAAGTCGCCAAGCAAACGTAAGCTGTGGGATCCGAAAGTATTAGTAAGCGCGGACGCACGTTAAATGGTCAGTTTCAGGCTGGGATTTATCCCGCATTTAAGGGGACCCCCCCCATTCTCGGTTTCAAAAAATTGATTTTTTTTTTTAAATTTAATTCGAACCTATAACTATTCAAGAATGTTCCTTTAAAATTTCAAGTGAAAATTTCAAAAACTCTTGAAGATATAGCCGATTTATGGTGGAAGCGTCAGGCGACGGCGAGAGCCCGCACGCATGGGCCACCTCGCAGGTACCTAGCTCTCATTGGTGCCCCTGTCCCTTCATGGGTTCCCCTTCGGCATATTTTGTGACTACCTGCCTGAAACATCTGCTTCTAGTCNGAATTGCCCTCCTGGACCTGACTCTTGGTGCAAGTGGCGCAAGTCTGAAGCCGCTGGGACATTGCAAGATTATAAACATCCACCGGAATTACACGATGGCGTGCAGCAAGCGATCAAGCCCATCTTCATAAAATTGTCAGCAGATGAACTCCTTCACCGATGTCTGGGAAATAATACGCAGAACAACAACGAGTCGTTCAACAATTGTGTCTGGAATTTTGCCCCCAAACACATCTATAATGGTAGAAAAATTGTTGAAATTGCTACCCAAACAGCGACATGTATATTTAACGAAGGTTTTGTCACAATTTTAAAAATACTGGAGACAATGGGAGTCAAAATTGGACGGGCAGCAGCCCAACTCCAAGGGACGCGCGATGAGCAGCGCATCACGCAGGCTGAGGAGGACCTCACTGAGGCTTCCAGAGAGGCCAGAATTGCTCGGAGAGACCAACGAGCCGAAGAAAATCAAGCCTATGAAGAAACGGAAGGAATTTTATATGGATATGGCATAGCTGATTGAACGTAGGTAGGTTTTATACCCAAGAATTTGCTTCTCAAAACTTTAAACGTGTTTTTCTCGAAACAGTGTTTTTACGACTGGCGCATGAGGTTACTCAAAACCTATTAATCCAATCGGTTCCAAATTTTAATACGTTATTCTATACATATATAGCTCTGGTATGAACTAGGATAAATCAAATCGGTGAAGATCTTCTTTACTTTTCAACTTGATTTGTGGCTGAAAAAAAGGCAATTTTCAAAAAAAAAATTTCAAAGGTCCGCCATTTTGTTAATTTTTGTGCGAAATTAATAATCCTAGTTCATACCAGAGCCAAACATGTACTCTTTCTAATCCCGTTGGAATTTTTGGTTTCAGATGTTCCAGTGAGCGGAAATCACATGCGCCGCCGAAAAGAAGGGCTTTTGTTTGATCACAAAAAACAACAACAAAAAAAAAAATTATGTAAAATTTTTTTCTTCTTTTTTATGTCTTCAAATAAATGTATGCAAAGTTACAACCCTAAAAAATAATTTATGTTCATTTACCAGCCCATTGAAAATCGTCAAAATTTGAAATCGAGAATGGGGGGGGTCCCCTTAAATATCTTAAACGTGAACGTTTGAATGGTAGGCCACTTCTCCCACTGGCACGGGTCAGGTGAGTTATGTGATATAAAAATACAGTATTTCTCGTTTTATATAAATCTCAAATGCCTGTGACTCAGATGAATTTGAAAATTCAATGTGTCAGGAAAAGAACATCAGCACAGCTCCTATCGATTACAGAAAAAAATGTGTCTAAGTATGTTGAAGTTGGAGATAGTGGGAAGGTCTTTCGGAGTCCGGGAAAAGAGAGGACATCTCAGAGACCGAAAAGAAATGTTTCAGAGAGTGTCAAACAAGCCATACGTAATGAGATCTACGTATGTGCCCACCAACGTAAGCTTTTTTCTCCCTTTTTGCCCTTCTCTTTCTCCAAATTTTCCATTAACCGAATACCTGGTCATTTTGTTAGGACGCTCGGTGACGGTTTCTTTTATCTACACCCATATCAAGTAATTTTTGCCATATTCTCATTTGACATATATTTTTTCGTCGTCACACGGAGAAAAAAGTTGGAGAAAAATTACGGAACAAGTCAAGTAATCATGAGAAATTTCCAATCTGATCGACAAACTACCATTGACTTATGTGTTAACATCTCGGGAAGTGGCATGAATATAAGAAGAGATGGAATTTTTATACAAACATTTCATGGTTCATAAGAATTGTTTTCTTGTAAATATATATTTATTTGTTCAGAATTCTATGGCTTGCCCTTTTCATTCATTTTTGTGAATCGTTAATAATTTTCCACACATTCTGAACTGTAAAAAATGAATGATGTCACTCAATTAAAAAGGAGATAGAAGTTCCGTGCAGAGTAACCTTGTTTCTTTTCCTGTTTACATTGTCTTTCTATCCTCTGATCACCGTTTATCGGAAAATTCATAATTGTGTGCCATTTTGAGGTTCGTATACGATTTTGAATTCGATTTGGATTTCACCGGTGGCGTATTAATACATACCGGCCCTTCTGCGCATATGCTGGCGGGGAAGGGAAACAACTTGAACATTGCCGCCCAAAGGTAAAGAAATTTCGGTTGAACTATATCGGGAAATACCCGATCATTTTGAAGCTCTCGGGGTATTACTACTGAATATTTTCTATACAAAGTATTTCTATACATAAATTTTTACATAAATTTTTGTTTTCATACCAAAGATGTCTAAACGCTCCCGAGAAAAACGTAGAAAAATGTCGCGACTCCATAGGAAATGTTTCTATACATGCGGCAGTGGGTTGTATAGGATCAAACCTATAGAAATCGTATAGAAATAATTTGTATAGAATATATCCGTGTAGAAATATCTGAATATCATATACGAAAATCCTACAGAAATTCTATACGCAATCCGTATAGAAAATATCTATACGATTTTTTCAAACGTGTACCAGTGATGGGAAAAATATGGATGAACAATAAATATAGATATTTTTCAAAATGAATATTTTTTGTGTACAGATCAACTCTATAAATCACTTTTTTGCGGGTTCAAACAGATACCAAGAACTGCCATTGTCAGTTTCATTGGAGCAAAATTCAGATAATTTCACATTTCATCAGAATTTTTACAACGGAAAATCAAGTAAGTAGGAGTGAGGTCACAAGTATAAAAAAACCATTCCATAGAAAGCCTTAGGGAATTCGCTAGAAAATTCTATTGGAATTCTCTAGAAATTCTATGGGGATTCTATTAAAATTCTAGAGTATTCTCGTTAGAATTCTATTTGCTTTTTGCGCAGATTCCATTAGATATTTGATAGAAAAAAATCAATAGTTTTCAATTTTTCTGTCTGAATTTTTCTCTTGAATTTTTTTCTATTAAAAGTATTAGGCACGGATTTCCTGATCCGAGTGAAAAACAACAGAAAATTCATGCCCAATTATTCTTATAGAAAAAATTCCAAGAGAATATTCATACAGAAAAATCGAAATCTGTTGATTTTTACCTATCAAAATCTCATAGAATTAGTGCAAAAAATTAATAGAATTTTAACGAGAATTCCCTAGAATTGTAATATAATCCCAATAAAATTTCTAGAGAATTCCAATAGAATTTTCTAGCGAATTCGCTAATTTTTTCTATTGAATTTTTTCATGCGTGCACGAATTTGAAGGAGGTTGAACTTCTAGACAATCATTTAATACCAATGCACTTGACACGAAAGTTAGGAAATGCAAAAATTTTCGACTAAAAATATCTTTGAATCTCCTCTGAAATCACTCATTAACGAGATGATTCCATATTCAAAGAAATGGGGAAAAATCGACTTGTTCGAGTAGTTTAAATCAATTGATAAAAAAAGGTGAATTCTCTTTTGTGAATTTTAATTTGCATTTTCTCATTGTTTCTTTTCTTTAGGGGTACACTGAAGAAGACACAGAGGTTTCTAGATCGCGCTGAGGAGATAACGAATCTCATTAGCGGGCCTTGGGACAGTGCTTGCATGGAATTGAGGGAGAAGAAGGAGGAGCTAGAGGGAATGTACGAGTGTCTTCATATTTGATTTAAAAGGAGCAATGAATAAATAATTCCAATTGGTTCCAGGGAGGTATTTGGAAGACATTATGTGGGGTAGGGATGACTGTGATGGCGATAGTTCGTTTCGTGGATTGTGATGAATTTTCTCGGTGATAATTAATAAGTAGAATGAGTCACTAACACAAAATATGACGATGAAAATACCTCTCTAGTAAGAAGTCTTAGAAGGGAATGCCAAGAGAAATTGTTCGCAGAGAATTTTCTCAGCTTAAATTTTGAATAAATTTCCGATTGTCAATTGAAATTGTGTAATTTTGTGAAATTGTGTCACATAGGTTCCATGACCACAAAACAATTTAAACACGATCATCTAACGAAAAACAAATTTAACAATAAATTGATCAAAAAACAGCAAATGATTTCAACCGTTTGTTTATTGACTATCATTTTATATATCAATAGTCCAAAAATTGTTATTGAAAAAAAAACGAATTTAAAAACTCAAAAACAGTTTTGCACATTTATACATTAGCAGATGTGCGCATAGAAATTTTACACATCTGATTTCTGTACACTATCATTTTACACGTACACATCATATTTTTTACGCCAACACTTTTTGTTCCCCGCAATGTTTTGCACAGAACAGAACTATGTCGACAGTTCTTCAGATGCTTATGTACACTTATAGACCGGCATGAATCATTACTTTAGTAATATTATGAGAAGTTGCACCTTACAATAATCAAGTTTTTACTTATTTTGAGTGAAATTGGAAAAATAATATAACAGTTAGTAATTTAAATTTCTCAATTATTGGTTGATCAAATAATTCGGAATTTGAAGATTTAAATTAATAGTTAATTTAATAATCAAAAAATTGGCGAGTAATATTAACAATTGACTTATTTAAAATTTAAATGTACTTAAAAGTTATTATTATGTCCATGTCTGTCTACACTATGAATTAGACACTTGTCAATTACACTGAGCGTTCAACACAGGTTGAATTGATACATCATGATTACCACAAAAATAAACAGCACGTGTGTAAATTGTTTTTTATATGGACAAGTTGGTTTCACATGTGTGTAAGATGATTTTTTACAGCTGTCAACAACCGGACAACAATTGGACTGATTTTTCAAACAATGAGACAACAGCAGGACTGATTCATTTTGCTGTGTAACAGTATCTAAAACAACTCTGAAACCGACTTACACACGTGAAAAAAACATCTTGCACACATGCTGTTTACTTTCACGTTAATAAAAACGCGTACATTAAACCCGAGTTGAATACTCTGTGTAATTTTCAAGTGTGTAATTAATGGATCTGTTGATGTTATTAGAATTAGTGTAGATAAGTATGAGAAGGATTGTCGTGTGTAGTTCCGTATTGTAAAAACATTGTGTGTGAAGAAAATTATGTTGACATAAAAGAAATAATGTATACGTGTAGAATAGAATATGTGTTGAAATTACTATGTGTAAATATAGTCCTGCCAGCCTCAGGGGGTGATTTTAGAAAACAATGTCGGAAGAACTTTTTTGCAGCTGAAGACATTTCAACATTTTTTTTTACATTTTCCTCTAAAACTTCTTTTCAACTTCTTATCTCAATGCTGAAGGTATTTCGCCTGTATTGGGGGGGGGGGGCGAGTTGCATTGTTCTAATTCAATCCCTGAAGACGACAATTTTCAATTTTCATGCAAATGTTTCGGTGTGCATTTGAACATTTCGTGAATATTATTTTCTTTTGTTGGATTGATTGATTTTCTTCTCATCACTTATGAGTGTCAAATTATTTTTTCGTCATTCAGGCCCGTTAGGTAACGCCTACTATAGCTGTCTTGAGGGAAGCTAAATGGCGTTTAACAGACCAGGTCCGTTAAACGAAGCACAGGTATGGTTAACTCGAGTTAGCAGCCCTAGGACAATAAAAACATACAGTTTCTAGATGGGCAACCCACAAAACCTTCGTAGGAATACAACATGAAGTGTGCGGTTATCGCTGTCACTTGCTTGAAAACTCGGCGGATCGTTCACCACTAATACGATGCGCCACCGTCATTGCCGATGACATCAGGAGTTGTTATTCCGTTGCTAGGGAGTCAGTCGTAACTTGAGGGTTATATTGTCAAAATATTAGTTTAATAAAGAGATTATATTCACTTTCTCGTTATATATCTATTTTGAATAGATTATATATATATTTCTATTAAAATGTGATGAAAAATTTGAGTATGTT